GTTGGGGAAGATGCATAACATGGCATTGACATTCAGAACCTTAATCCTCCGAAAGTTTAAAGAAACAGACAAGTGAAAAATGAGTAAAGAGTATAAACTGGCAGCTCATAGAAGAGAAGATTTCATTGGCCATTAAATAGGGAGGGGGGAATCCATAATCATTAGAAGTGAAAGATAATTTTAAACTGTCTAGTAATATCAGATACTAACACATATGAACAGATCCACATATTTCAGATGGTAGATTTCATATGTTGAGCCGCTGCAGAAGGCAGTGGTGTGTGTATATTTAGTAAAACTGGAAAATGCTCATATCTTACAGCCTTGAAGCGCTGCTTCAAATGATGCATTCTGGGTTCACTCTGGCATATGGCGTCTGAAGACATGTACTAGAAGGCTAAGAGCCGACTTCAGCGCCAGGCCACCTGGTTTAAATTCTAACCGCACCATTTTACTGGCTCTGTAACCTTGGACAAGTTATTTGACCTCTCAATACCTCTGTTTCCTCCTACATAAAATGAGAATAGTAGTAGCAACTGCTTATAGAATGCATGAAGTATGCACATAAAATAATAGAACAGTGTCTGGCTGATAGTAAGCACGGGATGTGTTATTACATTTTGCAGCACGTTTTGAAAAAAAGCAAAATATTGGAAACCATGTGTATAGCCATGTTTTGGAGGATAGATACACGATTGTATGCTACACAACCAGTAAGGGGCTCTAGATGCATTATAATAGGGACAGATCTCAGAAGCCATGTTGATTGAAAAAAGACAGCTAAGTTTTAGAAATGTTGTGATACTATATTAAATTGGTAATTTTTAATTAAAAGACTATTTTAGAATCAAAAATATTTTAATATCAGAAAAATCTAAAGAGTATAAAATTCTATTTGTATAATCCCAAATTCACTTATGACCCTGTCAATTTAAAATATATAGCCTTGAGAGGGGAGGGTATAGCTCAAGTGGTAGAGTGCATGCTTAGCATGCACAAGGCTCTGGGTCCAATCCCCAGTACCTCTAAAAGTAAATAAGTGAATAAACCTAGTCACCTACTCCCTCAAAAAAAAGTAAATAAAAAAAGTAAATAAAACTAAGTTAAAAATAAAATAAAATATATAGCCTTGAGACTGAGTATCCTATTCCCGCTTGTTCTGTTCTGCAAAAAAAATAGCACTGACATGTAAATTATGCTGTGTCCACGGTAGGAAAAAGTGAAAAAGAGTGATGTAGGTGTGTATACTCTGGCGTGGAAGGACCTACCTATCACTGAGGGGAAATGCCAACATGAAAATCAGAATGAATGATGTTATACCAACTTCGTTAAAAATAATCAAGAACAAAACTACATTTATCTGCTCAGAAAAATGGGAAGACTAGCAACTGGTATCAGCCGTTACCACTGATACAGATCCAGTGCCCCAGGGAGTGGCCTTGGAGTAGGGGAAACCTCATGTACTTTTTTATTTTTTTACTTTATCAAATCAACTAAAAGCAATTCTTTAATAGTATACACCTGTGTTACTTAACTTATGAGCAACTGCTGTTTCTAAAATTATTTTTGAACAGATAACATGTGTGTAAAAATATGTAGTAATTTCTGATACTGCATTGTGCATAGATGTAAACAGACAAATAACAACATTGGAAGCTCCTAAAAACAGCAATTAAATTTCATGCTTTCAGTAAATGTCTTAAAACTTCATCTACTTTTATATTGTTTTTAGTGTTTACGTAGAACATGTATTTCCCTTTAATGAAAAATATTTTTTAAAGTAACACCTGCTCATTGTAGAAAAATTTGAAGATGTTGAAATCAAAAGAAGAGTGTCCTTATCCAGGGTTATAACATTTGGTGAATAGCCTTGCACACCTCTGCCAGCATTTCCCCAGAGTTAAGATTCAAGTGTGTGTGCACATCCCATGTGTTTTTAATGTATGTGGGTATATGTGTGTATAAAAAATATATATACTCACTATATGGAGTTAACACGTTAGAAGCATTTTGTTACACATTTTAAATTATTTGCCAGCTGGGTTCTTAATGACTGCATGATATGCCATAGTTATTTGCCATTTTATGTTTCTAAATTTTACTCTGGTATGAATTAAACTCAGCTTTTTAAAGATAATGGTGAGAAGTTGGTGACCCTTGTATGTCTCAGAATTTGTAAAGAGCTGTAAGTATTCATGTTTTCATCTGGTAATTTCACTTTTGAGATCGTAGTCTAAGGAAATTTGCATGTATAACTTACACATACATAAATACATACATGTGTATTGTATATATAATTGTAAAGTGTTTTAATGAAAAGACATTGGAAACTTAAAGCAGCGATTTTTTTATAAAACAAAATTGAAAACAGTCTACATTACCAGTAGAAGCCGAATGGTTATGCAATTTAGGGTACATTGACATTGTTTTCATGCGCATTGACCTGCTAAAAGTGCAACTGGAAGATTATATACTATGAGGAAAATAGCATAGAATGTCCACGTAAATTTTTAATTGTGGACACAAAGAAGTATTAAGGAGTATTTAACATCAGGGTTTTTTAGGAGTCTGCCTCGGGCCGTGGTCTGTTCTCTGTGTTCATCTGTGCTGTGGTCTGAGGGCATTTCAGCTACAGTGTCTGTTAGTTCACTGTGATTAGCAGCTTGGGCTATGGTAGCAGACTGGATTTGGGTTGAGCTTCTGTCTCCAAGGTACACTGGGCCATGGTGAGCCTGTGAATCTCTCTTAGCCTCAGTTTCTCTTGTGGAAAACCGGAATAGGGTAATGTTGGCTAAGGTCTCAGTTCCTACAGTTAAGAGATTGACAAGGATCCGAAATGTCAATACTGTGTCAGCGAGG